CATAGCGCAGCGTGCTAACCGTTACACAGCCGCTCCGCTCTACACACACAATCTCACGCACACACACTACACACACAATCTCACGCACACACACTACACACACAATCTCACACACACACTACACACACAATCTCACACACACTACACACACAGCACACAGCACACACAATCTCACGCACACACACACTACACACACTACACACACACACACTACACACACACACACACACTACACACACACACACACACTACACACACACACACACACTACACACACACACACACACTACACACACACACACACACTACACACACACACACACACTACACACACACACACACACTACACACACACACACACACACTACACACACACACACACACACTACACACACACACACACACTACACACACACACACACACTACACACACACACACACACACTACACACACACACTACACACACACACACACACTACACACACACAATCTCACACACACACACTACAAAGATCAAAGATCCCCCATATAGCCTTAACAGACTGTAGGGGCAAGTGCTGTTAGCGAGCACCTATGAAGGCCGGAACGGTACACGAGGGGGTGGGTGGCCAGCACCACGCCCGACCGCCTTTGTCTCCCCAGTGGCGATATTTACACACCGCACCAGGTACTCATTTTGAGGCTGAGTCGACCTAGGGGAGGCCCGGGACCGGTTCAGATAATCGTCACTGGTGTTGGCCGTGAGCGGGAATCGAACTCGGGTCGCCAGGTTCATAGCGCAGCGCGCTAACCGCTACACTATCGCTCCCCCACTACACACACAATCTCACAAACATACACTACACACACAACACACACACAATCTCACACACACACACTACACACATAATCTCAAACACACACTACACACACAATCTCACGCACACACACACTACACACACAATCTCAAACACACACTACACACACAATCTCACGCACACACACACTACACACACACAATCTCACGTACACACTACACACACAACACACACAATCACACACACACTACACACACAATCTCACGCACACACACACTCACACAATATCACGCACACACACACTACACACACAATCTCACACACACACACTACACACACTACCCACACAATCTAATGAGCACGAGGTCACAATGGACCTGTGTTTGATACAGCTAACCAGATGCCTTATTTAATTTCCTCGTTAATATCGCCAGCCTGCCCTTCTCCCGCCACCTCGTATTAAACAGCACGCAGTGTGTGTACAGGTGTTTTGTTTGTGAGGGGTGGGGGGGTGTCAAAAATGTTTTATAAGTGTTTAAAGCTGCACGTTTGTACAAAGAGACCATTATTATAAACGCGTTATGCTACACGGAGACCCGTGGGTTCCACAGAATCCTGCTTGGTACACAGGAGGTCGTGGGTTCGATCCCGATCCTGACGATGTCTGCTGTATATTTGGAGTTTGCGTGTCTCTCTCTCCCCGTGGTCGCGTGGATTTTTCTCCGGGTCCTCCGGTTTTCCCCTCCACGTTTAGAATCAACATCACGCGCTGAGAGTATTTGGCTGCAATATAAATGTGCACGTGATGATGATGAAGCCACTTCGTTGCGCTATCATTTGTGAAAGCCAGGTCGCGTCTGAACAAGAGCTACAGAGCTCAGTGCGGCTTCACCTGGTAAAATACAAAGTTTATACTTTATAGCTTATTATCAGAGGCAAGAGGAAGATTTATGGCAAGATCGGTTGTGGTGGCTGCTGAGTCGGGTAGTATCAGAACAGCAAGCGGATCGATTTCCTGGTCAAGTGAGAATTGAAGCGGCGGTCATCTCTCTCTTTTTGAGTGAGTGGTGGAAGTTCCACGATCCTATGGCGGGGGTGAATCTCCTCGTAGGGCAACTGCTGTTTACTTCCCTACAAAGCGGTACCTATTTTATCGCCCGCTCCCCCCCCCCCGTAGCACAGGGAGCTAATCACCACACTCCCCGCACGAACAAACATCCACACAATAGCAAAGATCCCCCGGATAGATATAACAGACTGTTGGGGCAAGTGCTGTTAGCGAGCACCTATGAAGGCCGACACGGCACACGCGTGGGTGTGTGGCCAACACCAAGCCCGGCCGCCTTTGTCTCCCTAGCGGCGATATTTACGCATTCGCACCCAGGCTACCCATTTGAGGCTGAGTCGACCTAGGGGATGTCCATAACCGGTTCAAATAATCGTCGCTGGTGTTGTGCCGCGAGCAGCAAATCAAACTCGTGTCGGCGGGTTTCTTAGCGCAGCGTAGTGCCAACCCCTACACCACCGCTCCGCCACCGCCACGAGGGAACCTGCACTTTGCTCTCCCCTCCGCCACTCCGCAGCCCTGAGAGAGTCGACGCTCGTTGCTTTAACCGCTCCGCGTGCGGTGCGGGGCGGGGCGGTGCCCGCTCGCTCACGCGCCCGCACCGGCGGCGATTCGGCGTGTGTGGAGTTTTGAGTTTATTTGATTTTGTTGCGCTGGTCGGTCGCGTTCAGCTGGCCGCCCTGGTTATTTCACACTGGGGGGGGGCAGTGGGGGGTGTGGAACGATCCACCGCCCTTGAGTTCATCGACGCGATCGTGCTGTCCGCTGCCGGCCCCGTGGCTTATCAAACAATATTCGCTCCAAGCGAGGGACGGCCGATGGATGATGCAGGTTCCGTGATTTTTTTCCCGGCGGCACGACTCCTCGAGAAGACTTCGAGGCCGCTGTTCGCGTCCAGAGCCGGGGGAAGGCCGCGGTGAGAGGAGGCGGTGTGTGTGTGTGGGGGGGGGGGGGGCAGTATCTTACCACGTAATTTTCTAAATCAAAATTGTATTATTGATATAAATGTTTATTGAGTTTTCGGGGTTTTTTTTTTGGGGGGGGGGCATACGAAAGGGATTTGTCCGTCACTCAATAGCCGCTGTCAGTTAGCTATTCGTAGGCCTATTTTTTGAGAAGAAAAAAAATTGGTCATCGGAAGACATTTGTTGAAAAATGTGTAAAGTAATTATCATCGTGCCCCATGGTGGCGTTAAGGGCGGTCTTCAACCCGAACGAACCAACTCTGTCTCTCTGGCGTCTCGGTTGATGCGCGCTTCCAAGGTGCGGGGGGAGCTGACGCACGCGTTCAGTTTTGTTGTTCATTGGAGGAGCGGTCGCGCTGCGCTACCAACACGGCGAAACGAGCTCAATTCCACGCTCGCGGCAACACCAGTGACGATTATTTGAACCGGTCATGTGCATCTCCTAGGTCGACTCAGCCTCAAATGAGTACCTGGTGCGGTGTGTAAACATCGCTCTTTAGGAGACAAAGGCCACCCACCCCCTGGTGTGCCGTGCCGGCCTTCACAGGTGCTCGCTAGCAGCGCTTGCCCCAACAGTCGGTTAAGGCTATACGGGGGATCTTTGTCTTGCTTGATTAATTGTGCGAGCGCAGGGCCACTGACGGCCCCTGGTGACCTGAAGTGCGGCCCCCGGCAATACACAACACGTGACAACATCCCCATCATCATCATCGTGCTGCTGTCAAACCTCCAATGGTTTCAAATGTGTGGCGGACCTCACACACTGTTGATGTCGCATCGGGGAAAGTGCCCGTGCTCCCTCTCCCCCTTCTGAAAATTAGTGAAGCTCACTGCGCTAGTGAACAGTTTCCTGGTGGTTGCAAGTTACATTACAGATTGGATAACCGTCATGATTTTTTTTTTTAATAGAGTGCCCCCATCCTCCTAATCACCGGGCCGTCTCATCGTCACGTCTCACGACGCATTTGAAAGGAGCACCCCCAAGTAACAGCCGTGCCAGTGCAGCACGAGGCGACTCGCCACCTGAACCGCGAATGGGCATCGTCTGCCAGTATGCTGGCCATGGATGTTACGTGCAATCTCAGTCGAGTAATTTCCTGCGGCGTTTGCCGCCCACCCTACATTGTTACAGATAAGGGATCTACTGCGCTGCTACGGTGCTAAATCTACGCAAATACTGGCTATTGACTTGGTACTGAGCCAGTTGTTTGTGCGGCTACTGTGTATTATTATTGGTAGTATCATTATCTCCATCACGTTTTGGTTCCAGTGGCCGCCCCAGCCAGCACGGTTGGCTACATACGATGCGAAATAAGTGCGACACATTACTCCGGGAGAATTAACTGGCAAAAGACGACGCGCCGTCTGCTTCACGATGGACTTTAAATATCCCGTGCCGAACATTCGCAAGAGTGGATCGCAGCCATCATCACACTGCCCTCCCAGCCCCCTGCGAAAACTGAGCAGGACCCCCCTGAAAGAGACTCAGTGAGGCTATCCTGGGGGAAAAACAAGCGTAGTAATAATAGTATTGGTATTCATGTTTATATATATTAAGTAGACTTCTCTGCAACACAATCATACCAAGGACTGCGAAGTGCATTAGCACAGGGACCATTAACAATCACTATTCTGGCAAATCGCCCGATGATGCTAGATGTAATTACCAGCGAAACGTCGTACTCAAATTGTAAATATTGTGTATTTACTCTCCAACACGCCGGTGGGCTTAAGTAGTAACTATTTGGCATTTTGTTTACGTGACAAATCCCTTACTAATTGGCTTTGTCGGGTGGTGGAGGGTTTCGACACATTTGTACTTACGCGATCTAACCCAAAAAAACTTTATCGTGAATAAACGATCACGCGAACTCCGGTCATCCTTGTGGCTGGCCATCGAACAAAGTCGGTCATCGCATCACGCGCTTTCAAATGCGCTTCCGTGGCTGTCTGGAACGCTCTTCCTTTCGATATTCGGAAGCCTTTCGAGCTATGCACTTTCAAATCAACTAGATTGAAAACGAATTTCTTTACAACTACTTTTGTTTAGTTTTTTTTTGTCCTTCCCCCGCACCTCCGATTAGTACGGTTGTCTACGTACGGTGCGAAAGAAGTTAAAAACACACATACATAAAGGACGAATGAGATTCTGCTGCAGTCCCTTGGCCAGGATGGAGGAGGTGGAAGGAAGGGCTCGAGGAGAGCCAAGCAAGAGAAGGGGGCGGGCGGGCGGGCGGGCGGGCGGGCGGGGCACGGGAGACAGTAGCGATAGAGGAAAGGGCAAGAGAGCAAAGTGACCACAATGGAAAAACGAGTTGGGTTGGAAGTGAGTCAACAAAGCAAGCGTGGGCCCCAGATCCTGGCCCACGCGTCGCCAGTGATCCCTGCTGCCATGGAGCTACTGTGAACGTGGGGCTCCGTTGTCAGCCTGGTCGGCATTGACGTCGCCTTGTTCAATGAGGGGGGGGGGGGGGGTGCTGGGGGAAGAAAGAATGCCGACTCAAAAATGCCTTGACTTTTTTGCCCCCAAAATGTTGTGGGGGGGGAGGGGGGGGTGTCTCGTTGTCGGCCCGACAGTGCCACCTGACGAGGCCCCAGGAATGTGTGGAATAGCCACCACACCCAGTGACAGAAATAATGTGTCGGGTTTTCACGGCGGGACTGTATTCAATTTTAATTTTCGAGGGTCGGTGCACAAAAGTTTGTTGTTTTAACTGTGCTTTGCTATAAGATTTATGCATATGGAAACACTTTTAAGTGGTAAATCAATTTATTTTTCTCCTGGGTGTACGACTAAATGATGAAGTAGATTTAAAAAAAACTATAACTTTTAATGGACTTTTATCAAAGATTATTAAACTGGTACATTTGATTTATTTTATAGCCGAGACCTCAAATTCAATATCCTGGCATTTCAGTTGGCTTGGATTCAATACTTATTACTGATTTATTATAAGTTTGGAGATATTGCAAAAACTTCCCAGGGAGATATATTAAAGAAGGGTGCTCGCAATGATTTCTGTTTAAAGACGTATTAAAGCTCGGAGAGCTCCAGACTAATGAAGTGGGAAAGGAAGTGAATGTAACGTGTAGCTTTGGGAATAATTGAAGGAGATGGATAGTTAGACGAGGAGCCAAATCATCTTCTTAGAAGCAGGGGAACATTCTGGTTCCATAAAATCCATTTCTATACCCGAACGAGAGTTTCTTTAATTGCATACGAAACCTTTCACAGGAGTTTCTTTAATTGTATACGCAAACCTCTCACGGGAGTTTCCTTGACGAAATCTGAAACGGTCAAATCATCGTGCGTCATTCCAACAGCTGTGACTATTATTAACTCTCACCCTTGTTGTTAAAAAGTTAACCTTATTGTGCAAACTGATATATCAAACACAAAGCATCGCGTCAACAAATATAAACGTTCATAATTATTAGTTGTCTATTACTAAACTACTCTTGAGTGTGCCCGACCCCATCGGATGCCGTAAGCAAAGCAAGGCCTGAGCCTGGTTAGTGTCTTGACCGCCAGGTGCATACCAGGCCCTGTAGGTACACCAGGCCCTGTAGGCACACCAGGCCCTGTAGGTACACCAGGCCATGTAGGTACACCAGGTGCTGTAGGCACACCAGGTGCTGTAGGTACACCAGGCCCTGTAGGTACACCAGGCCATGTAGGTACACCAGCTGCTGTAGGTACACCAGGCCCTGTAGGCACACCAGGCCCTGTAGGCACACCAGGCCCTGTAGGCACACCAGGCCTTGTAGGCATACCAGGTTCTGTAGGCACACCAGGCCATGTAGGCACACCAGGCCCTGTAGGCACACCAGGCCTTGTAGGCATACCAGGTGCTGTAGGTACACCAGGTGCTGTAGGTACACCAGGTGCTGTAGGCACACCAGGTGCTGTAGGCACACCAGATGCTGTAGGCACACCAGGTGCTGTAGGCACACCAGGCCCTGTAGGCACACCAGGCCCTGTAGGCACATCAGGTGCTGTAGGCACACCAGGTGCTGTAGGCACACCAGGCCTTGTAGGTACACCAGGTGCTGTAGGGACACCAGGTGCTGTAGGGACACCAGGCCCTGTAGGTACACCAGGCCTTGTAGGCACACCAGGCCCTGTAGGTACACCAGGCCCTGTAGGTACACCAGGCCCTGTAGGCACACCAGGTGCTGTAGGCACACCAGGCCCTGTAGGCACACCAGGCCATGTAGGCACACCAAGTGCTGTAGGCACACCAGGTGCTGTAGGTACACCAGGCCCTGTAGGTACACCAGGCCATGTAGGCACACCAAGTGCTGTAGGCACACCAGGTGCTGTAGGTACACCAGGCCCTGTAGGTACACCAGGCCATGTAGGTACACCAGCTGCTGTAGGTACACCAGGCCCTGTAGGCACACCAGGCCCTGTAGGCACACCAGGCCCTGTAGGCACACCAGGCCCTGTAGGCACACCAGGCCCTGTAGGCACACCAGGCCTTGTAGGCATACCAGGTTCTGTAGGCACACCAGGCCCTGTAGGCACACCAGGCCCTGTAGGCACACCAGGCCTTGTAGGCATACCAGGTGCTGTAGGTACACCAGGTGCTGTAGGTACACCAGGTGCTGTAGGCACACCAGGTGCTGTAGGCACACCAGATGCTGTAGGCACACCAGGTGCTGTAGGCACACCAGGCCCTGTAGGCACATCAGGTGCTGTAGGCACACCAGGTGCTGTAGGCACACCAGGCCTTGTAGGTACACCAGGTGCTGTAGGGACACCAGGTTCTGTAGGGACACCAGGCCCTGTAGGTACACCAGGCCTTGTAGGCACACCAGGCCCTGTAGGTACACCAGGCCCTGTAGGTACACCAGGACCTGTAGGCACACCAGGTGCTGTAGGCACACCAGGCCCTGTAGGCACACCAGGCCCTGTAGGCACACCAGGCCCTGTAGGCACACCAGGCCCTGTAGGTACACCAGGTGCTGTAGGCACACCAGGTCCTGTAGGCACACCAGGTGCTGTAGGGACACCAGGGATTGCCAGGAACCGGCACCAAACATGGACGAAACGCAATTGGCCTTTCTGTGACTTGAAGCTATCTGTGTGGAGATTTGAGCGTTTAACCCCCCTTCCCACAACATTTCTGACAGATGCACGCGGTATTTCCGGGCACTCTTGTTTCCTTCCACTTTAACTATAACTAACTTTCACTCTTTTTTTACCAGGTGAGGTCCACTGAGCTACGCAGCTCTTTTCCAGAAGCGACCTGGCCACAAATGATAGTTCAAATCACGTGGCAATCCGTAGCAGCCAAATAGATGGATACATGCGAATTCCAAAAATACAGGCGTCAGGGTCGGGATCAAACCCACGATCTCCTGTATACCAGGCGAGGTAGTTGGCATCTCGCCACCGTGGCGCTACCACTGAGAAAGACTGGCCAAACCTCCTGAGTCAGGATCCTCCTGAATATGAGCATTGAGACTCAGTGAGGCTTCCCTGAGTAGACCATTATTTCCACAGTTAATTTGTTGGGAAAGTAAAAGGCATACAAACACTAATAATAGGGGTTTTTCCCCTTTTTTCTGGCAACAAAACTGAAACCTTTTTACAAGGATTCATGTCTGCATTAACCACAATACCTGCAGTCAAAATGTAAACAAAAAACATACTATGATAATATATGCATTGTCCTTGAAACTGATTGGTCCGCACCAAGGGACGGCTTTCTTTTTAGCCTCGACCCAATTGGTGCTCGACCACATGACGCCAGAAGGCGTACAGCTCAAAGACAATGCCACTATCAAACTAATGGGGGCTCGGGGTGAGCATCTACATCATTAGACCTCCTTTGCCAGTACCAAAATGTAATAATAGGGTTTTTCCCCTTTTTTCTGGCAACAAAACTAAAACCTTTTTACAAGGATTCATGTCTGCATTAACCACAATACCTGCAGTCAAAATGCAAACAAAAAAACATACTATGATAATATATGCATTGTCCTTGATAGTGTCTTTGAGCTGTACGCCTTCTGGCGTCATGTGGTCGAGCACCAATTGGGTCGAGGCTCAAAAGAAAGCCGTCCCTTGGTGTGGACCAATCAGTTTCAAGGACAATGCATATATTATCATAGTATGTTTTTTGTTTGCATTTTGACTGCAGGTATTGTGGTTAAGTCGCGTTGTTAAGCGATTGCTTAACAACGCGACTTTGTTTGAAAACGTCGCGGGGAAGAGTCGTGGTTTTATTTCAGATAGCAACATTTTTGTTGTTGTTGTTTGCCCAAACTTTAAATATATATTTTGAACACTGCACACGTGGTGAAAGGTGGGACATAAGCCCGGCGAAAATTCTTGCGAGCGCACGCTTTGGGTGGGGGGATTATATTTTAGTCCACTTCAACAAAAATGTACTCGCCAAAGTCTTTACCACAGGGGTAACCGTGGTCGTCAAGCCCCAGGCTGCCTGTTGTGAGAGTCTCTGCCGCGGAAACGCGTTAGCCAGTGCTGGCGCCTCTCTGGGTTTTAAAGTCAAAATTGGGCGCCTCTGTGTGAAAGTCTCTTTCAGCCAATAGGCTCTTTAAAGTCCAATGTTGGAGCCGCGCCGCGTTGGCTGTACAGGAGCCCTTACATGTGGCATTCCAACGGAAATTGTAAGGCACCTTGCCCAGACGATTATTTTGAAAAGGTGCCTCCCTCTCTGAAAGTCGGCTCGACATCACAAAGTTCCTACTTTGCATCTCGATTGCCTTTCCAAGTGCGCGCTCAGTTGAGCGTGAAATTAGATTCTGCCTTTTATTTTCCTCTTAATTAAACACGAGCGAAATGTTAAAGTAGGTAGATCGAAGCGCCGTACCTGCCACATTAATTTTTAAGACGAGTGTTTGCTTCAGTGCACTTACATTTTAGAGACAAGGAGGTGAAAAAAAACACATTTCTGGCAATTGATAACATAAATAACCAATTTTTATCAATTTACACGGCCTAAATTGAAATATCAAACAAAAGTATTGCCTACATATAACAAAAAACGGTACAGTAATTTATCCCAACGAGGTAGTAGTGATCATAATCGCCATCATTGTGTTGTTATTTCTTGAAGCCTTTTCATTTTCAATCCATAGCGTGTGGATTCAGCCACTATTGTGGAGCTACTTTTCCCACTGCAGTATATATCAAACAATACGTTTTTACACGCTTTCATTTAACTCTGTTGTTGTCGTTGTTGTATCCTTAAATGTTGTAACCCAATTTTAACCCACTTCCCAATGTGGCATCGACTGCAAACTTGGTATACTCATGTCATACTGAAGACAATACTATATTCTATCATAAAAATAGATATTTTTAAACAATATTTTTTGTATGTTATGTTTCGGCTTGGGTCTAATTGTCCATGCTCAACTGACGTTGGCTGTAAATCACCACTGTCCCTGACGTTATGGCAAGCTTCGGGGGCCACTGCCTGGAGTCGTGGAGTTCTTCCATTACGAGTACATTTCATAAAAGCGTGTTTTAAAAAAAATATATATTTTTTAATATTACTTATTCTAACACAAAAGATGTAGCTGGGTCAACAATAATGAAACAATATACATGATATTGTATATGTATATCAATGTATAACAAAATTTAATGTTCAGTTATTTTCCAAGCCACTGGTGGATGAAAGCCATGGCAATCACGGGCATGTTTAGCCATACTTCACCACGCTGGTCAGTGTGGGTTAGTGAAGTGGAGAGCACCTGGGTACTGGGTTCGGAGATAGAATTCACCCCTGAACGGTGGCAATGCCCAGGAATTAAACTTGGGCTGCCACATTCGTAGTGCAGTGTGCTAACCACTGCACCACCGCTCCCCAACATCAACGTCATCGTTAGAAGCCATCACAAATCCACTGCTGGATGAAGGCCGCCCCCCCACCCACCCACCCATCATCGCCATCTCCCACGACCGATGCAGGATTCGCACGCGAGCTGACTTCACTGACTGCTGCGTTGGTGAAACGTTGCGCACAGAAAACAAATATAACTTTGCGATGTAAAGCAGTACGCAGGATAAATGTTTCCATAAAATGTCTCAAACTCTAAGCCTCATTGACACTAAAACATCCCTCGCCTTCCATACCTTCACTTTACACCCGTACCCCACTCTCGCTCTGTGACGTTACCCTTGCTCTGTTTCATCTGTAAAGTTACCCTCGCTCTGTAACGTTACCCTTATCATTCAAGTGCCTTCTCGGCAAGCGACACGGGCATATTTTTTGCATTGGAGTGGCCCCCGAGATATTTCCGAAGGCCTGGGGTTCGTTGCTCCCTCGGCGGCCACGAGGTAGTCTGTTTTTTTTTACTGCGTACTTCTTTGACCGTGCGCTCGAGGTGTTGGTCGAAAACGTTGAAAGAGTAATAATAACGCACCATGCGATACGTGGCTTTGCTGCTGTGGTGGTGGGGGGGGGGGTGTGGTTGGGGTTTAACGAAGCTGACACTGGGTAGATAATCCAGGCAAGTCTTTTTTATGAAACGCTGGCCCATTTAGAGATGTATTTTGGCAGCTAGCATTTTAAAAAAAAACATAATATAAAACTGAATAAATGTTTACAAGTTAAAATACTCTGAACGCGTGTTGTTGATTTTAAATTTGGAGAGAAAAACCGGAGGACCCGGAGAAAAATCCACGTGACCACGGGGAGAGAGACGTGCAAACTCCAAATATACAGCAGCAGGCGTCAGGATCGAGATTGCGGTGTCCCTTCAGCAACAACCGTGGCTGACGTTCTGCAAGTCTGCACGGCAATAAAACTGCATCGCAATCAAAATAACACTAAAAAAAAACCTCAGCTTTCCCTTTCCAGCTCATCGTTCGTTCATCCTGGGTGTCGACATGAGTGAGTCAAGAAACGACGGCCGTGATGGCACGGCAATAGTGGGAAGAGCGACAGAGGGCGGTGGTGGGGGAGAGACGGGAGGCCCTGCGTGCTATAAGCCTCCTTGGTCTGCAGCCAGTCCGTCCCGACAGCTGGTCGTGGTGTCGCAGCACAGCAGGGTGCAAGAACGAGGGCCTGGCTGGCATCGAACTTTGATAATTGAAATGTTGGCCGTGACGCGAGAGGCAGGCTCAAGGCTTGAAGGGGTCCGACTTACGGCAAGCAGCACGTGCTTAGCCGGCAGTGTAAGCCAGGCTCGTTAAGGACGTATTAATTGCTTTTTATTCATCTTATTATATGTATTTTTATTTCTTAACTTCCTACCTCGAAAAACAATCTTACCTCCCTCTCTTAAGCACGAGTATAACAATGCGCTTCATCTTTCACGGTGCTGGCATTTGTAAAAGCCAGCCTGGCACGGTTCTGATTATGTCAACCTGTTACCGCAGAATGTGCCACTTGCTGCGTTTAAAATACGTACACGCATTGTACCAACCGTTTGCTAAAGTGCATACGTAAAATGTGCTTTGTACGTATCATGTAAAATGTATCAGCTGTGCGTGGATACAGAAACGCGTGTAGGCGATTTGGGACGAATTTACGCTATTTGGGGTCGCAATTCCGTTTCAAGAATGGGTTGGTTTGTTCAGATTCTTCATGACTGTGGGGCTCCGCAATTGGATTTAGTGGTCACATGAGCCTATGACATACGAGATGTACATGTACAGTGAGGGAAAAAAGTATTTGATCCCCTGCTGATTTTGTACGTTTGCCCACTGACAAAGAAATGATCGGTCTATAATTTTAATGGTAGGTTTATTTGAACAGTGAGAGACAGAATAATAACAACAAAATCCAGAAGAACGCATGTCAAAAATGTTATAAATTGATTTGCATTTTAATGAGGGAAATAAGTATTTGACCCCTCTGCAAAACATGACCTTAGTACTTGGTGGAAAAACCCTTGTTGGTAATCACAGAAGTTAGACGTTTCTTGTAGTTGGCCACCAGGTTTGCACACATCTCAGGAGGGATTTTGTCCCACTCCTCTTTGCAGATCTTCTCCAAGTCATTAAGGTTTCGAGGCTGACGTTTGGCAACTCGAACCTTCAGATCCCTCCACAGATTTTTTGTGGGATTAAGGTCTGGAGACTGGCTAGGCCACTCCAGGACCTTGATGTGCTTCTTCTTGAGCCACTCCTTTGTTGCCTTGGCCGTGTGTTTTGGGTCATTGTCATGCTGGAATACCCATCCACGACCCATTTTCAATGCCCTGGCTGAGGAAAGGAGGTTCTCACCCAAGATTTGACGATGCATGGCCCCGTCCATCGTCCCTTTGATGCGGTGAAGTTGTCCTGTCCCCTTAGCAGAAAAACACCCCCAAAGCATAATGTTTCCACCTCCATGTTTGACGGTGGGGATGGTGTTCTTGGGGTCATAGGCATCATTCCTCATACAAACACGGCGAGTTGAGTTGATGCCAAAGAGCTCCATTTTGGTCTCATCTGACCACAACACTTTCACCCAGTTCTCCTCTGAATCATTCAGATGTTCATTGGCAAACTTCAGACGGGCATGTATATGTGCTTTCTTGAGCAGGGGGACCTTGCGGGCGCTGCAGGATTTCAGTCCTTCATGGCGTAGTGTGTTACCAATTGTTTTCTTGGTGACTATGGTCCCAGCTGCCTTGAGATCATTGACAAGATCCTCCCGTGTAGTTCTGGGCTGATTCCTCACCGTTCTCATGACCATTGCAACTCCACGAAGTGAGATCTTGCATGGAGCCCCAGGCCGAGGGAGATTGACAGTTCTTTTTGTGTCTTCCATTTGCGAATAATCGCACCAACTGTTGTCACCTTCTCACCAAGCTGCTTGGCAATGGTTTTGTAGCCCATTCCAGCCTTGTGTAGGTCTACAATCTTGTCCCTGACATCCTTGGAGAGCTCTTTGGTCTTGGCCATGGTGGAGAGTTTGGTATCTGATTGATTGCTTCTGTGGACAGGTGTCCCTTTAAGAGTGTGCTCCTAATCTCAGCTCGTTACCTGTATAAAAGACACCTGGGAGCCAGAAATCTGTCTGATTGAGAGGGGGTCAAATATTTATTTCCCTCATTAAATTGCAAATCAATTTATATCATTTTTGACATACGTTTTTCTGGATTTTCTTGTTGTTATTCTGTCTCTCACTGTTTAAATAAACCTACCATTAAAATTATAGACTTATCATTTTTTTTGTCAGTGGGCAAACGTACAAAATCAGCAGGGCATCAAATATGTATTTCCCTCACTGTATATGCTTTTTTAAAATGTCTATTCTTCCACGCAAAATTCTTAAGTATCGATGTTAATCTGTTGATGTATACGTTATTTTACATCTTGTGTCTAGCAAGATATAATTATATATTTAGATTTAAGACATAAAGCTTGTAAATCAAATATAACACGCTGGACACGAATAATTATCTTTCATTAGCTGTTTAGTTTTCATATTAGGTTACATTTGATTTATTATTCATCTTTTCGTGGAGTTTTTGTTCTCTATATTTTTTGCATTCGTTATCTGAAGAACAACTTTTGTGTACAAGTGAATTTAACAACATTTTAAACACCCACATTCGCTTCATGTTTTACAATCGTAGTCTGACTGGCCTCCACCATAGTAATGTGGAATTAGCACCACTGGCTCAGTGCTGAAAGCATAAACGAACGCTGACCCAATTGAAGAGAGACTCTTTGCCTCCCAGTGACGTCATCACATTTACCCCACGTGTATTTAAGAGCGAAACAGGAGGAGGATTTCTCCACCAGCTCTGCCTGATGATGCTGGTTGTTGTCATTACCGGTGAAACGTCACGGTACTCGGATTGTATATCAGGTTGGTTTACTGTCCAACACACCGGCGTGCTGTATTCGTAACGGATTGGAATGTCCCGTTTACGTGACGGACATTACTAATTGGCTGTGGCGGGTGGTGGTGGGTTTAACGACGAATTTATATTTATGCGATCTAACCGAAAAAAAACCTAGATAACGGATTATATTGGTCGTGTTTAACAAGCTTTTACATATTCTTGGTTCTTTCGGTAAAGTCATATTGCTTTCCCTTCAACGCGACTTTACCGAAAGAACCAAGAATATGAATCACTGCAGTCACGAAAGCTTTAAATCAAAATTTAAGCTGTTACATCATTTGATCCTTGAGGTTTGACAATGCATCAAGTCATCGATTGATATCAATGACATTAATAACACATGCATGGACTTGTGTTTGTAAGAATGGTTGTTATTTATTTTCAAATCATACATGTGGTACGTAATGGGTTCATATCACCACTGCAGCCACTTGAGGCGCTACCATTCACCGCAATGTAAAAAAAAAACAATAACAACAACATGTATTTAGTCATTGACTCTTTCATCGCATTTCTCAATCGCAACTATTTCCCAAGTTTATGGGACCTGGGGACCCTGGGTGCAAGGAATGAGATCTGTGACAAAAAAGAGCTTCATAGCTCATCGGATTCCTCCAGTATAAAATGTATATTCTGATTCTAAAATGGGGCCCCTCCTTCCAATGCCTCTTCATATCCCCAGCCACTGGGCCCCTACCGACTCGTGAGCCCTGGTGCAGTTGCACCGCCTGCACACGAAGCCCCACAGAGTCGATGGGATGTGTGGGGGCGGGAGGGGTAAATCATTCCACCCCTACTCAACGGTATTCTGATGTGCACGTGAATGCTAGTTTGGAGTGCATACATAAATATATAACGTTATTGTAAAGTGCATAATGGGTTAAATAAACAACACAATTGAAACCTCTTAAACTCAATGAGGTGTTTCATCGTACCCGACTGATGAATCCACAGCAGGCCCGAGACGCTGTCTCCCATCAGCGCTCACAGTTTGCTCTCTCTCTCCCTGCAGGAACACGAGCAGACAGCTGTGAGTCACGGCTTAAGTTGTTGCGTGATTTGGTAGCTGTTCTCAGGGCCCAATGGGTCAGCACAATCCCGTCATCGTAAATTATTAATAATAATACACACGTACGCTGACGCTGGGAAAAAAGTGACTACTTGCAAGGCAATATGCTCACGGGTTTGCTCATGCCCACGCACGCATATACAAGCAATACGTGTGTGCGTGCACATCATACACTAGCTGCAAGGGGAAACTTGCACACCACGTAAGAATAGATATGCGAAAACATGTTCATCAAACACGAATATAACCATACATGCGTTAAAAAATCACATGCATAATAATCACGTATATGCATAGTAAATCCTAGACATATGCACATATGCACGTGCATGCAATTGCACATGTACACATTGGGGTGGAGTGGTGGCACAGTGGTTAGCGCACTGTGCGATGAACCCAGCAAGCCTAGGTCTATCCCCGGTCACGGTGAACATGAACTGGTGAGTGATATATGAACCGGTTCTTTAACAAGTTGCAATGACCAACGGAACAACACAGCTGTTATTGACACATGGCAGTGATTTATTATTATTATTATATCACGTACTGTGTTGTTAGCGAGTAACATCAAGGAAGTTGAACACGTAGGCTGTCGCGACCAACATTATCCATACTAGAGGGTGATGTGGGTTAGATTGCGTGAATATAAATGTGTCGTTTTGCTCACGTAACAAACCTTACTCATTGCCCGTGTCAAGTGGTGGCGGGTTTAACGACACATTTATATTTACGTGATCTAGCCGAAAGAAATGAAACTATGTTATGGACAACTTCTAGGAAGAGGGGCATGGCACACGAGGTTTTGGGTGGCCAACAACCAAACCCGACCACACCGCACCAGGTACTCATTTGAGGCTGAGTCGACCTAGGGGAGGTCCCAGGACCACTTCAAATAATCGTCACGGGTGTTGGCCGTGAGCGGGAATCGAACCCGGGTCGACAGGTTCGTAGTGTAGCGCGCTAACCGCTCGCACATACAGCCGCACGCACAACAAACATTCGTAAAAGGTGGTACAGGTGTGAGGAATTTAAGGACAGCCAGTGCAGCTTTGCAAAGTGAGAGAGGGCTTGCACGTGCAACGTTAGCGTGAGAGATCGAGAGAGAGAGAGTTGGGGTGGGGAGCGAACGCGTGTGTGTGTGTGAGAGAGAGAGGAGAATTGGGCTAACTGATGCTGCTGACGAGCCCGGCACCATCTGGGCTCCGTGCCAAGGCTCCTTTGTGGGACTCCTTCACCGGCAAGTCCCAGTAGGGGTAGGTGGTGGGGGGGGAGACCCCGTGCCGTGTGGCCCCAGAAACAACTTTCACCAGCACCCACCTCGTGCCGTCCACGTCGCGTTATTATTACCTCTGCTGCTGCTGTCCGCGAGCCCTCTCCTGCGCGAGACGTAACGACGGGAGCTTGCTTGTTTTCATTGTAATGCATACAGGGCGCTGTGTTTACACAGGGCTGGGTCAAAAAAGTTTGAGAACAGGATATTAAAGGTACACACAGGCTCGGCCGCATCTGTTACTATTTTTTAAGTACGTGTTTTTTTTTTTCACGATTAAATTTTTTTTTTCTCTGAAATGTGCGCTGACATCCACTTCATCTGACGCTGATCGAGTGGTGTTGTGCAACTTACATTGCGAGTCTGGTGACCTGAGTTGGATTCCTGACCACGGCTATTAACATAGGTGGTGAAGTGATGCCTGCTTGACTGGACCCCTTTCTTCACAAATCTACATTGACCAGCCTGGTGAAGTATGGCCAATAACCCCCCCCCCCCCCCATGACCGACAGCACAGAGAGGCCTTCACACAGAAGGAGATTGACAAAGGGCTGTGGAATATAATTGTTTTATTTTACCGAAATAACCAAAGAGTAATGTAATTATTTATGTGATTTTTATTTCGTTTCCCCAAGTGAATTTTTACCTCAGGATCATTTTATGATACGAATTCAATTATTATGGCCGTCTGTAAAACAAAACATTTGCATTGTATACATATATATCTAAATGCGCTACATTTGTTATTAACATGCTTTATAATAGCAAAAAAATGTTGAAGGCTGACATTTCAATCAATGGCATTTTTTTAAATAGCAGGGATCGCACTGCACTGGGAAAACTGGGACATTTAGCAAAAGAAGTTGATCAAAGTTTAGAGTTAATGCAACACAAGTTTTATATTAGTAGACATTGAGTAGACATCTTATACAGTTTAACACGTGATAGGCTTTCGCGACCAATATTATTCATAATAAAGGTTTTTGGGTTAGATCGCGTTATTTATAAATGTTGTGTCGTAACCCTCCACCACCCGACACAGGCAGTAAGGTTTGTCACGTAAACAACGCACCGATTAAATGTTGTGGATTTACTGTCCAACACACCGGTGGGCTGAAGTAGTATACTACGCTATACACTACACTATACACTATACTAGTAACTAACTGGCGCGTTGTTTACGTGGCAAACCTTACTGGCTATGCCGGGTGGTGGAGGGTTACGACACATTTATAGGGGCCGTCTATAAGTGACGTCACGCACCTAGGGGGGAGGGGGGGTCAGACATTTGTGACGTCACATCAAAATGCGCAACTTTAAATAAATATAGACAACACGTTCTACTTAATTAAATAGACTTTTTAATGTTTTCTCCTACAACATCAGAGTGCAGCGCCACATTAAATACGCACTACAATGACAATAGTTTAAAGCGATTTGAAGCATGTTATATATATTTTTGGGGGGGGGGGCAGAGCTTTGTGACGTCATATATGAGGGGGGGTCTGACTTTTTGTGACGCCGTGTGACGATGGGGGGGGGTCTAAAATCGTCCAAAATCGCGTGACGTCATTTATGGACGGCTCCATACACGATCTAACCCACAAACCTTGATTGTGAACTGTCTGAGACAGTAAGACAAACACAACTCCAGTGATTCAAGCTCGAGTTTAAATGAGCAAATGTGAACATGATTTGACTTTCATTATAAATTGGTATATATAGTCATACTTGTTGACTATTGAAGGTCTGTTACTCAATAGCTACTAATAGTGGGACTAGTCACGTGGCTGTTTAAAAAAAAATGGTCATCAGGAAATATTTGAGAAATTAATTTTCATCACAAGCCCTGTAGTGTTAGATAGTCTCAAACCCTAAGTTACTCCATTTCTCTGGCGCCTGTGTGCAAATTAAGAAAGGGTAATTGTGCCAAAAGTCACATTCAATAGACTTTTTTCTTTAACGGCCACAGTGATATTGACGAACGTGAAGGCGCTTTTTGTTGTTGTTAAATGTGAATGTGAAACTGCACAATGGCCATTACAAGAAAAAAACTAATCCAAATTACTGGGCCATGTTCATTGTTAAATGAGCGGTTTCTTCGTGGAAATCCTACCTGACTGCAGACCATTAGCATTCGATTATGCGTGAAATGAACCGGAGTTCCTGCAATTCTGTGCCCTTTACAATTGTACCAATTGTTACATTTTTTTTAAAACGGCGAAGTCTTTTTTTTGTTGTTTAGTTTAAAAACCACGTTTTACATCTTGGTTTTATTTTTCACGCTTACAGTCAAGACTTGATCGGGGAGAAACCGCTCCCCCGCAAGCCCCAAGCCCAAATTCATCTCCAAGAGAAACATGAACACCGCGGAGAGATGCGGACGCGGATTAACGCTGAGAGACGCAGGGAGGCACGGAGGCGTGGATTTGGGAATTGGATTTGGGGGGTGGGGGGCGCAGGACCCAAAGCAATGCTGGACTCGATCACGGCCGATGGCCAAAGGATAATGAGGGAGTGGCAGGTGCCGGGTGGATTATTACATCGAAAAATCGTGGGGAGGCCTTCATTCAGCAGCGGATGATGGTATAATAGAAAAGACACAATAGGGCTCTTGCTTATCATTTACTAGACACGGTAGGGTTTCCACTACAGGGCGATACGATACGTTGTACGCTATAAGAACCACGATAACCGTCAGTTGAGTATGATATTGTCCTATCGGGATTACTGTTGCTATTTTGTCTCATATTTGTTTTGTATTTCCTGTTGAAAATTTGAATGCAATAACAATAGTTATGTTTTACCAAATTAAAGTTATATTGGTAAATGCATACCTATCACTCATTGAATCAGTGCTTTTTAAAACTATTTCTGGATAAAGTGATCATATATTGTTATATATGTGACGCCATGCATTTCTGACAGCAAGCGCGCTTTAAACTGGCGTTTTAGGTTGGAAAGTTGCGATGGCTTGAAACACTCTGGCAAGGCTTATGATGAGCGTGAACTGCAGCTGACTAATTTTTAAGCAATCTTTGTGTGTAGTTGGAAATACAGCAAGGCACATATCCAGAAGGTTAGTTAATGCCAAATGTAATGCCAAATTTAAGTGAAACTGATATTGCGATAATCAATATCGTGAAATTATTTTTTTCATCATTAAATTTTGTATAAATACAATCCTACAAGCCACTGACACTATATAAAGCAACATACCTTAACGTATTTCAGGGAGAGTGGCATCGTGAATTTCAAAACCAAGGCAACCCCATGCACTCTTGCAATGTAAGTCAGTCGATCTCTCTCTCTAGCCGCTCTGAAGAAGGGCCATTGCGTGAAACGTCAATCTCATGTTTTTTTTCTTTTTGTTATAAGCCAGTGTGAGTGACACGTGGTTGCGAGTTGTGTTTGCATTTTATGTTTTCACTTATTAATCAGAGGATTTAAAAAGACGAATCCCAGGTGTGATTTTTGGTCTATCCAAGTTACAGTTTCCCAATTCCCTCAAAACCTCTACTGGCACCACTCGTCTTCAGTTTACTTTCAGTTTATTTTGAAGTACCCTGTGACCTAAGAAGCTCTTGAATCGGGTTTCATCAACAAAAGCATCGGTTCCTTTGTAAAACATAGCAAACGTAACAGATCGCCAGAAACTTTTAAACAAAAATAAATAGATAATTAAGAAAAGCAATAGCAACGAATCACATAATGTCGAGTATTTAACTAAATTATCTTTCAAATATGGAACTAAAGTGAGGATTATGATTAAAGAACATATTTCAAATAAGGTATGAAAACGAAAATGGTAAAAGAGTCTGGCGCGTGCGTTGTAGAGTGCGAACACTCTCTGTGTGTGTGAACACTGAGTGTGTGAACACTCTGTGTGTGAACACTGTGTGTGAACACTGTGTGTGTGTGAACACTCTGTGTGTGAACACTCTGTGTGTGTGTGAACACTGTGTGTGTGTGAACACTCTGTGTGTGTGAACACTGAGTGTGTGTGTGAACACTCTGTGTGTGTGTGAACACTGAGTGTGTGTGTGAACACTGTGTGTGTGAACACTGTGTGTGTGAACACTGTGTGTGTGTGAACACTCTGTGTGTGTGAACACTGTGTGTGTGTGTGAACACTCTCTGTGTGTGTGAACACTGTGTGTGTGTGAACACTGTGTGTGAACACTGTGTGTGTGTGTGAACACTCTGTGTGTGTGAACACTCTGTGTGTGTGTGTGAACACTGTGTGTGTGTGTGTGTGAACACTGTGTGTGTGAACACTCTGTGTGTGTGTGAACACTGTGTGTGTGTGAACACTCTGTGTGTGAACACTCTGTGTGTGTGAACACTGAGTGTGTGTGTGAACACTCTGTGTGTGTGTGTGAACACTGTGTGTGTGTGTGAACACTGTGTGTGTGAACACTGTGTGTGTTTGTGTGTGTGAACACTCTGTGTGTGTGTGAACACTGTGTGTGTTTGTGTGTGCGAACACTCTGTGTGTGTGTGTGCGAACACTCTGTGTGTGAACACTGTGTGTGTGAACTCTCTGTGTGTGTGAACACTCTGTGTGTGTGTGAACACTCTGTGTGTGTGTGAACACTCTGTGTGTTTGTGTGTGCGAACACTCTCTGTGTGTGAACACTGTGTGTGTGAACACTCTGTGTGTGAACACTGTGTGTGTGTGTGAACACTCTGTGTGTGTGTGTGAACACTCTGTGTGTGTGTGAACACTCTGTGTGTGTGTGAACACTCTGTGTGTGTGTGTGTGTGCGAACACTGTGTGTGTGTGAACACTCTGTGTGTGTGAACACTGTGTGTGTGAACACTCTGTGTGTGTGAACACTGTGTGTGCGAACACTCTGTGTGTGAACACTGTGTGTGTGAACTCTCTGTGTGTGTGAACACTCTGTGTGTGTCTGCGAACACTCTGTGTGTGAACACTGTGTGTGTGAACTCTCTGTGTGTGTGAACACTCTGTGTGTGTGTGCGAACACTCTGTGTGTGTGTGTGTGTGTGCGAACACTCTGTGTGTGAACACTGTGTGTGTGTGAACACTCTGTGTGAACACTCTGTGTGTGTGTGAACACTCTGTGTGTGTGTGAACACTGTGTGTGTTTGTGTGTGCGAACACTCTGTGTGTGTGTGTGAACACTGTGTGTGTGAACACTCTGTGTGAACACTGTGTGTGTGAACACTCTGTGTGTGTGAACACTCTGTGTGTGTGTGAACAGTCTGTGTGTGTGTGAACACTCTGTGTGTGTGTGAACACTCTGTGTGTGTGAACACTCTGTGTGTGTGTGAACACTCTGTGTGTGTGTGTGTGCGAACACTGTGTGTGTGTGAACACTCTGTGTGTGTGAACACTGTGTGTGTGAACACTCTGTGTGTGTGAACACTGTGTGTGTGAACACTCTGTGTGTGAACACTGTGTGTGTGAACACTCTGTGTGTGTGTGAACACTCTGTGTGTGTGTGAACACTCTGTGTGTGTGTGTGCGTATCATGCAACGTTTTTGTCATATTCTGCGTAAACATTTTGAGAAGTGTCGAATTGCGAATAACTTTGCCCCCGCCACAATAAACGGTCGCGATATTTCAACAAAATAAGAGCGGTCGGATTCTGAGCGAAATCGAATCGTGTTCGAGTATTTGTCTCGGAAAGGCGCCGAGAAAAAAAAACGTCGGACTTTTTTCGTTAATAAATTCTATTACGACGTAAGCGATGTCCCGGAGGAAAAAAAAAGAGTCGAGGGCATAAAGGGGACTTGGTAATAGTTCTCTCGCGGCCTGACGACGGTAATCCCCGCGTTTCCCCGGCAGGGAATACAAATTTGTGCCGAAATTAGCAAGCGGGATTTCTGCTTGTGTACATTTGGCCAAATAGTCACATGTCCGATTCGCGTTCACTCAATCAACATCGCAGCTGCCTGAAACCAAACGATATATATTGTTTCATATAGTCGAGCCAAACTAATTCAACTAATTAGTGCTGCATTAGAAACTGTTTCAGTCCCTTGAGATGGAAGCCCCAGGCTGAGGTAGCTTTGCCCCGAATATAAAGGGAAGTGTTTGAACATTCACTGGCCTTGTCGTTTGCTATTGCGTGTGGCCTGCTAAACGTAATTGGGCCCTGACAAAAAATAAATTTCCTTCAATTTTTGCAATGGAGGAGGGAGCAGTAGTGCAGTGGTAGTTAGCGTGCTGCAAGGATGAGAACCCGACGGTCTGGGTTTGATTCCTCACCCTGCCTAAGGTCAGTCGTGAGTAATATCCCACGTGGTCCCTGTGGATACCCCGACCCCTCAACACAACTGCATTGACCGACATGGCGAAGTATGGCCAAAGAAACCCGCTGACTTGGCATGCCATGGGGAGGCCTTTGTCCAACTCTGGATTGACCGCTGAAAGGCTCTGTAAGTAATTATTGTTATCATTACCGTCATCATATTGTGTTATGGGGAGGACTTGGTGTCGCTGTATATCCCTAATAGAGCCCAACTCCGTGGTTATTGGGCGTGTGCTCCGGTGAAATTGGCATTACGATGCAAAAGCAACCTCTGTTTTCCAAGCGATCATTTCAGGTGCAGCTATTAGGATGGAAACTCGTTTCCAAGAGGCAATTAGGCAGCCAAGATTGTACAATATATTTGTGTGTATATATTGGGCACGTCTAACGAGGAAAGTCTCATGATGTCTCGGGATTATATTTCAGGAGGGCCCTGCTAAGCTCTTCACATAACGAGGCGATGTTGCTGCCGTGAGTAATCCCAATTGAGTAATTTGGAGATAATTTTCCAGCATGTGTGTGTGTGTTTAGTGCATGAGAGGGAACCGGAGAGCCTGGAGGAACCCCATTGCAGAACGGAGGTAGAACCATGACAAACTCCACGCAGAAAGACACTCGAGTCAGGAATCGAACCCAGCTATTTCTTTCTGCGGGGCACGAGTGTTACCACCGCGTCACCTGCGCCCTTGAAATACATTGCTTGTACGATACAATGCAGTTTGGATCCATATTGCATCTTAATGCAACCACAACTCAAGAGGATGTCCATCACAGTGGACCTGTGTGTAGCACAGCGGATCATTATCTCCTTGCCCGGAGAAGGTTTTCTCCAGGCGCTTAGCTTTCATCCTCCACACAAGAGACCCACGAGGATATTTATCGAAAGTAGAGGTTCTTAATCTGGAGTACACACACCCGCTGGGGGTGTGAGATGCCCTTTCTGGGGGTGCGAGACATGGTCAGGTTTTATTTAGAAGGTAAATAATCGAAAACACAAATAAAGCACGGGCAGGTGAGTACAACTGCATTGTTTCATCAAACCCATGTATCTGTTAACATTTTTTTATAAATATGATCGAGAACCAAAGGGGTGCAGGCTGCAGTAAAGGTGAAGAACCACCGCTCTAGAGGGTTACTTTGGCCTGCTCTTCCACGTTGGCCCAGATGTCTTGGGAGAGGCCCAAACGGATCAAAGCGGAAACAGTCCATCGACCGGCAGGTCGTGGCGTGGAGGAGTAGACAGGTCGTGGCGTGGAGGAGCAGACAGGTCGTGGCATGGAGGAGCAGACAGGTCGTGGTGTGGAGGAGCAGGCAGGTCGTGGCATGGAGGAGCAGACAGGTCGTGGTGTGGAGGAGCAGGCAGGTCGTGGCGTGGAGGAGCAGGCAGGTCGTGACGTGAAGGAGCAGACAGGTCGTGACGTGGAGGAGCAGGCAGGTCGTGACGTGGAGGAGCAGGCAGGTCGTGACGTGGAGGAGCAGACAGGTCGTGGCGTGGAGGAGCAGGCAGGTCGTGGCATGGAGGAGCAGACAGGTCGTGGTGTGGAGGAGCAGGCAGGTCGTGGCGTGGAGGAGCAGACAGGTCGTGGTGTGGAGGAGCAGGCAGGTCGTGACGTGAAGGAGCAGACAGGTCGTGACGTGGAGGAGCAGGCAGGTCGTGACGTGGAGGAGCAGGCAGGTCGTGGTGTGGAGGAGCAGGCAGGTCGTGGCGTGGAGGAGCAGGCAGGTCGTGACGTGGAGGAGCAGGCAGGTCGTGACGTGGAGGAGCAGACAGGTCGTGACGTGGAGGAGCAGGCAGGTCGTGACGTGGAGGAGCAGGCAGGTCGTGGTGTGGAGGAGCAGGCAGGTCGTGGCGTGGAGGAGCAGGCAGGTCGTGGCGTGGAGGAGCAGGCAGGTCGTGACGTGGAGGAGCAGACAGGTCGTGGTGTGGAGGAGCAGACAGGTCGTGGTGTGGAGGAGCAGGCAGGTCGTGGTGTGGAGGAGCAGGCAGGTCGTGGTGTGGAGGAGCAGGCAGGTCGTGGCGTGGAGGAGCAGACAGGTCGTGGCGTGAAGGAGTAGGCAGGTCGTGACGTGGAGGAGCAGGCAGGTCGTGGCGTGGAGGAGCAGGCAGGTCGTGACGTGGAGGAGCAGGCAGGTCGTGACGTGGAGGAGTAGACAGGTCGCAGTGTGGAGGAGTAGACAGGTCGTGGCGTGGAGGAGCAGGCAGGTCGTGGCGTGGAGGAGCAGGCAGGTCGTGGCGTGGAGGAGTAGACAGGTCGCAGTGTGGAGGAGCAGGCAGGTCGTGGCGTGGAGGAGCAGGCAGGTCGTGGCGTGGAGGAGCAGGCAGGTCGTGGCGTGGAGGAGTAGACAGGTCGTGGCGTGGAGGAGTGGGCAGGTCGCGGCGTGGAGGAGTAGGCAGGTCGTGGCGTGGAGGAGTAGGCCAAAGTAACCCTCGAGAGAGGCTCTCCGGAGCTCCCTCGAGTAGAGGCCCTTCCGCCAGCAGTTGGCGTGAGCGAGCGGTTGCAGGGCTGCGCCTCCACCTCACCTTTTCCTCTAGAGTGGACCGATCTTTTGGGGCAATGGCCCTACTTCGCGAGCTGGTAACTGGGGGGTATGCAGAGCAATTATTTTATATTGCAGGCATTACTGTGTCACTCTCGTGGGCATCATGAAGCTCGTCATTATATTAAATGTGTGTCTGTGCCCTACTTACAACTACACCAATTTGAGGATGAGGAGTCGTAGTTTGGCGTCTGATTATTAACACGTGAGCAGTTTCAGAAAGGAATTATAATGAGAGTGTGCTTGTGCAGATTTGGCACGTGAATGTTTAAGTGTTTGATGGGAAAGTAGCACTCAAAGCTGTGGCAACTATGAGCTCCGTTTTTCATAGTTGTGCCACAGTGGCTATGAGATGTTAACGACTTCGCCTGGTATACAGGAGGTCGTGGGTTCGATCTCGAACCTGACGCCTGCTGCTGTATATTTGGGGTTTGCGTGTCTCTCTCTCTCATCATCATCACGGTGGCTAGGAGATGTTAACTACCTCGCCTGGTATACAGGAGGTCGTGGGTTCGATCCCGACCCTGACGCCTGCTGCTGTATATTTTGGGTTTGCGTCTCTCTCTTTCTCTCATCATCACGGTGGCTATGAGATGTTAACGACCTCGCCTGGTATACAGGAGGTCGTGGGTTCGATCTCGAACCTGACGCCTGCTGCTGCTGTATATTTGGAGTTTGTGGTGTCTCTGTCTCGGTGACTGCGTGGATTTTTCTGCGGGTCCTCCGGTTTTTTCCCACCACATTTAGAATCAATATGCATTTAGACTATTTGGCTGAAATACATTTCCACACGATAAGCCCACTTTCGTTGACCTATGATTTGTGGCCAAGTCACTTCTGGAAAAAAACAAAAACTCTATGTCGCTCAGTGTGCCTGACCAGGTAAAATATGAAAAAAATAGTTTGTAGTTATATTTTCTTACTCAGCCGCTCCCCTTGTTGGAACGAGCGAACGTGCGGCCGCAACGACTTGCGTGGGTGTTGTCGCAGGTGTGCTCTTTAGCTCAGCGTGATGTCCGACGTTTTGCCGTCCAGGAGCCGAAGAAGCTCCCGGCACGTGGAGCGAAACGTCGGGCGCCGTGCCGAGCAAAGCGCGCCGGCAGCCCACCACCAGGGCGGAGAAGCTGCGCGAAGTTTCAAGCGTTGACCCTGAGCCCTGGCAACAACAACAACAACAAAAAAGAATCACAGTTTTTTTTTCGGCAGTGTCGACTCGCACACGTGCAATCGGTGGGTGCGAGTTTGTATGCAGAGAGACACAAAGGAGTCTTCGATGAGTTGACATTTTTCGGTGTGGACATTCATTGTTGGTGGCGGCGTGAATTTTAAACCGATGGGGCCATTCCGCGAACCGGCATAACCGTTGGCCCATCGTGGGCGCCTGACGCCGACATCAGACACGGGCTCCGTGGCGGATGGATAGAGATTGAGAAGGCGTGGTCATGAGCTACTGTGCTCATTACGGTGATTATCGTCGATGCGGATGGCTGGATGTGAAACACCCAAAAAGCTTGGGAATAATGAAAAAAAATGAACTGCTGCGTTTGGCTGCATTGCCCCTCGCAGTTGAAAACCCGATAATAATAATACAAATATTTCAGAGGCTGGGCTACGGTCTTATGGCAGGTGTGCAGGGAAAAACGCCAAGATAATAAACTCCTTATAATGAAACACGTCGGCGCTCGCCAGATGTGAAGAAATTGCACGTACAGATATACTCTTAATATGAATAAGATATACTCTTCTTCTCTTAAAAATGGAGACAAAGGCTGTTTCGAGAAAAATTATCTCTCTACAAAGGCTCTTGAAGTGTACTGGCCGATGAAGAGATTTAAGCTCCCAACTGCGTGTGTGTGTTCACAGTTGTGTGGGGAGCGGTGGTACTGTGGTTAGTGCGCTGCACTACGAACCTGGCGAACCGAGTTCGATTCCCCGCTCACGGCCGCCAACACCGGTGACGATTATCTGAACCGGTCCTGGGCTTCCCCTAGGTCGACTCAGCCCCAAATGAGTACCTGGTTCTGTGTGTAGTAAACATCGCCACTGAGGAGACAAAGGCGGCCGGGCGTGGTTCTGTCCACTCACCCCCTCGTGTGCCGTGCCGGCCTTCATAGGTGCTCGCTAACAGCACTCCCACAAAAAGTTTAAAGCTAGACGGGGATCTTTACCTTCGTGCTACGTAGCTCACTGATGACTGTAGGCCGTACCGCGTGCCTTGTTTGTGCGCAATGTCCGACGTTTCGCTCCGCATGCTGGGTGGGAGCTTCTTCTTCTTCCTCACTTTCAGAAGATACCTTCATCACATTGGTCACCGGAGCGGGGGGAGACACCGTGCCATCTCACGTTGACTTGCTCACCCTATTTTGTAGATGTGTCAAGACTGCAATGTCATTAGACCTCCTTTGCCAGTACCAAAATGTAATAATAGGGTTTTCCCCTTTTTTTCTGGCAACAAAACTGAAACCTTTTTACAAGGATTCATGTCTGCATTAACCACAATACCTGCAGTCAAAATGCAAGCAAAAAACATACAATGGTAATATATGCATTGTCCTTGAAACTGATTGGTCTACACCAAGGGACGGCTTTCTTTTGAGCCTCGACCCAATTGGTGCTCATCTTGCTGTGGTTTTCACACCTGATGATGATTGCTTGTGTTGCAGTCGAAACGTCGTGAGAATTTTATTGCTTCCCTTCTACGTGACTTTACCGAAAGAAGCACGAAGGAGTATGTTTTTTGTTTGCATTTTGACTGCAGGTATTGTAGTTAATGCAGACATGAATCCTTGTAAAAAGGTTTCAGTTTTTTTGCCAGAAAAAAGGGGGAAAACCCTATTATTAAGACTGCAACTGTTACGTTTCAAAGCTCTGTGACCCCATGCTGGGCTCGCAAAACATTTTTTTTTGGAGCTCGGTTAAAATGGCTTTTTTTCTTCCTGGAAACAGTTGGTGGACCTCTCGCCCTAAGTGCGACCACTGCTGCCAAAGTACCCACCCAGGACCACATTCACCCCCACCACCTCGGCGCCCCATACTCATTACCACAATTAAGACAAAGATCCCCCGAACAGGCTTGGGCAAGTGCTGTTAGCGAGCACCTATAAAGGCCGGCACGGCACACGAGGGGGATGGGTGGCCAGCACCACGCCCGGCCGCCTTTGTCTCCCGAGTGGCGATGTTTACACACGGCACCAGGTACCCATTTGAGACCGAGTCGACCTCGGGGAGGCCCAAGACCGGTTCAGATAATCGTCATTGGCGTTGGCATTGAGCGGGAATCGTGGCGCAGTGTGGCGCTAACCCCTGGTAAACTCTCTCGTCTGAACCATGACCAGCCCAGAACCACATTCGCCCCCCCCCAACTAACTACTTCACCGATCCACACTCATTACCACAATACCACTCTCCCCAACACCCCTGATTCTGCTCATTTTCCCCAACAAGAAAAAAAAACAGCCGACCAGCAGCCCCTCTCTGCAATCTGTCAACTTATTTTTTTGGGGGCCGCCCTGAATGTTTCAGCAACGAAGCAAAACAAACATACGTGCTGTATATAAACATCCCCCCCCTTCTTCCCTCCGCCATGTGTGCAGTCGCTCAGCTGTTCTGTTGTTATCACGGGAGCCAATATTGTGCTGTGTTTGAGGTGTGTTTGAGGTATCAAACAAACAACAAACACCGAGAAGTGTGTCCAAGTTTATTTCAGTTGCGCTGACTTCCGATTAGCACGGTTGGCTACGTACGGTGCGAAAAAAAGTTCAACGTTGGATTATAATCTAAGGCGCTACGGTGCAGAGATGTCAACTGCAAGAGGTCGTGGTTTCCAACCCGACCCTAAATCCTGCTGTGTATATTTGGAGTTCGCGTGGATTTCTCTCCGGGTCCTCCGTTTTTTCCCTCCACATTTAGAATCAACATCACGTGCTTCGAGTATTTTGGCTGCTATACATTCCCACGTGATGAGCCACTTCGTTGAGCTATCGTTTGTTGATAGCCAGGCCGCTTCGGAAAAAAAGAGCTACCTAGCTCAGCGTGCCTTACCTGATAACAAATTTTGTTTTAATAGTTTATTTTCATTTCATTCTGGTGTGCGTCTGCACGTGCGTCATCTTCGCCAATCGTGGCGTAATTCGGCTCACCTCCCCGACCCGATCTACGTAGCATTAGGAGTAACAGGATGATGGCAAATCTTACCGGTGAGCGCAGATTTAATATACGCAGACTGTGATTGGGTACCAACAACTTTAATGCAGACTCAGGAGGCTTGTGTAGCAGCAACTAATATGCAGCAGCAGCAGCTGACACGGCGGCAGCAGGAGACTGTACAGCAGCAGTAAGAGCAACAGCACGGTCCGTGAAGCCTCGTCTGCCATCAGATTCGCCTGATACATGTGTATGTATGTTGAACTTCTTTCGCACCGTACGTAGCCAACCGCGTTTGCGGGGGAAGGACAACAAACAAAAAGCAGTTCTAAAGAATTTCGATTTAAAGCTTTCGTGACTGCAAGGATTCATCTTCTTTGGTTCTTTCGGTAAAGTCACGTAGAATGAGAATAAAATGATAAATTGATAAAATAAAATAACACAATAAAATTCTCACGACGTTTCGGCCACAACACAAGCTCTCATTCTACGTGACTTTACCGAAAGAACCAAAGAAGGTCGGTTCTAAAGAAATTAGGTTTTCAATCTACATGATTTGAAAGTGCATAGCTCCAGATGTACGTAAGGCTTCTTCAGGCCAAGGGGGACCTCGTGTCGAGGATTTCCCTCTGTGGGTGATGAGGCCTAGTGGAAGGAGGGCGACTTAAGCAGCAACTGATGGCGAAGTCACACACGCAGTCACTCCCGAGTGAAGTTAGACTACGAAATGTTATCGAGGATGCGTGGAACAAAGTTTTACTTTGGTACTCGCTGGAGGTTACCAATGCCACGTGGCATGCAAGATATGTGAGAATTGTATTGCTGATTACAAATGCCCATGGTTGTCTTAAAATAATAATAATTCGATAACAAGCGAACAGAAATTGAGGTCCACCGTGTGACTCCGGGGTCAGAAGCACCGGACCGGCGCTTCTGAGAACCTGGGTCTGAATCCAGGTTTCAGCCTGCCTGCGATCGAACCGGATTCTCTCAGTCCCGTCACCGGTGACTGCACGTGAACACCCCGTCACGCTACATTTGCTTCCTGCACTCAATTTTGGCTAAAATCCAGCTCCGAGCGTTTAAATTGTCGGGTTTGACTGCGCATGCGACGGACGCCCCCCTGAGCGGGTAGAAAAGCGTTGCCCTCTACTGTGCGGACCGGCGGTAGCTTGAAGGGATATCAGTGGTAGTTCTGTGATGTCCACTTCTGGTCGCATTCTTCTGTATGTATGTACGTTGAACTGATTTCGCACCGTCCTGCAAGACATCCGAATGGATTTTTGTTGTTGTTTTATGACATGATAGACGTAGCACAGTCAGAGCACAAGTTGGGAACACGATGCGCTGAAGAAGCTCTCCCGAGCGCTTTCGGCTTGTGCCGCGTGAGGTCCGACGTTTCGCACCTCAAGCTGGGGAGTCTGAAACATCACCGGCACAACTTTAAAACGCATCGCAGAGCTGCCGGGTAAACAATAAAAAAAATAAAACTAATCGGCCGACGATGTTGCACGTTTTGTCCCCTCAGCCGAAGGAGGTGAAGCCTCTCGCACAATGGCCACCCCTCGCCGGAGCTGTGGGCCCAGGTCCTGCCCGACGCTTCACGCCTCGTTGCTGCTCCCCGTCCTCCTGCTGCTCCTGCTGCTGCTGCTGGGCGGAGGAAGCTCCCTCAAGCCGCCCATCCCTCGAATCAAACTCTCCTACAAAGGTACGCCAGCCTGCCGAGCCCCCGGGCCCCGTATTGCGTTAACAGCTGTGCGGCGGGCGGAGGCGGGACGGCAGTCGGTTTAACCTCGTCACCCTGGACATCATTCAACTTTTCGTGCCGAGCGGGGCCATTCTTTTATTTATTTGCTCGTCTTGCCCCAACACGCGAGACGCCACGCTCGGTCCCCCGTTCGTGGCTTTCTGTATTTGTTCACACGGCCTTTCTTTCCGCGAAGGCTGCACGGAGGGCTTCCTTCAGTCACGATCTGCGGTCCCCTCCCTGTCCCGTCTGCGTTCCTTTATCTCCCTCCCGTGCGGTGTTTTCGGCTGGGCCGAGTGGCCCAGGGAATGCCGCCTTAGTGGTGAGGCCTCCGCAGCGGTGGCAGCGGTGGTCGTGGTCCCAGCGCCTTCAACTCCGGGGTCTCAGGCTCGACTCTCGTGGAGTCTTGGCGCTTGCAAATACCTGGACGGTCCCTTGACACGATGGGGGACATTGGTCACGAAAGGGGCGCGTGCGTGCACGTGTGGTCGCGGCGGTGGAGATCCGGTGACCCGAGTTCGATTCACAACTCACGGCCAACACCGTGTGACGAATATCTGAACCGGTCCTGCGCCTCCCCTAGGTCGACTCAGCCTCGAATGAGAAGCTGGTGCGGTGTGTAAACATCGCCACTGGGGAAGCAAAGGCTGCCGGGCGTGGTGCTGGCCACCCAACCGCTCGTGTGCCGTGCCGGCCTTCGTAGGTGCTCGCTAACAGCTCTTGCCTCAACGGTCTGTTAAGGCTATACGGGGGGAGGGGATCTCTGTCCGTGTGTGCGTGCGTGCGCGATTACACAATGCCCGTGGAATAACGTACAACTCGCTTGCACAATGCGCGGGTCACAGGAACGAGCGTGCGTGTTGATGTGTTTGTTGAAGCGCTGCTCCTCATTCAGCGCAGCGACATTGGGGGTTTCAAGTGGCCACCGCCGCCCCCATCCATAGCGGCGGAGTAACAGAGCACGACAGAAAACAGAAGCCGGAGGGGGCTCCGCCCCGGCGTGCAGAGACAAGAAACGGCACGCGATGATTTTGATTTAACAAAAAAATAACCCACGCGCCCGCGCGCACGACTGCAGATTACATGTCTCCCGCAGCCAATCATTAAGATGAACTCGCAGAGGGAAAGGCGGTGGGAGACTTCACTTTGCACTTGTTACGTAAACCCCAGGCACAGTGCTTCCAGCTGTCGCGGGGTTACGAGAAGCACTGCCGTTGTTTCCGCGCTGGACGGATTTCTGCGAAGACACGCAAGCGGACAGGCCACATTATAGCCGAACCACGAGTCGTTGTACACTCAGCAAGCAGCGAACGGAACGATGAGAAAACTCTCGGCCACCGTTCAGACTGCTCCGTCCTTGTAGAAGTGCAATGCGAATAATTCCCTTTTATGTATCCTGAAATGGGTTGCACCGGTTCTCAAATCGATTTTTCCAGAGGGTCCTGCTGCTGCCACCTTGCAGGGTTTTAGACAAATTTCCGATGCTTGTGATTTACCAACTCGTGCTGTCACGAGTGCGTCTCTTCGTGCAGGCGGGAACTGGAGTAGCTAGAAAAAACCCTCCCCCCTATATACAAAGCAATAACGCTCAAAGATCCGCAGAGATGGATTTGACACGCAAAAAAAAAAACACATTTTCTCTACTGCCATCACCTGTCCACCTCACATCCCGGAAAGTTTTGAGAGTTTCACAAATCTGCGTGATCCACCGACCCTTCCCTCCAAAGCGCTTTCCCGTGGCGTGTGCCGGCCAGGGGAGACACTTGTCAGTACGTAACCACGCTGCACGCTGGGTCAGCGAAGGTTGGGGTTAGGGGATGCCCCGGGTCGGTCCGGGTGCGATGCCCTCACCAATGTTGGCCGTTCGCTGTGTCCGAGAATCGAACTCAGATTGCCGGGTTCATTGCACATTGAGATAACCACTGCCCCCCCCCCTCCCTCTTCCCCCATGTACCGGCAGTTCCTGAGATATGAAAGTCCAACAGGTCTCAGGAACGAAACCTGTCCGTAAGTCAAGGACTGCCCGTATATCACCAGATATATATTTTAACGGAGTCGTGTTACGAGGCAAAGAAATGCACTTTTAGAACTTCTCCCATCAGCGGAGGATCCCAACAGGTTGAGAAATTATCCCCTGAAGTTTCAAACTACAGATCGTCAGCGCTGCTGGCTGTCATTTGAATCGGTTTGTCTCATTCCACACTCGGGCAGTGCATGTTCCCTGCTCTCTAAAGGACGGTTCCACTGTCCTGTGGTGGTTGGCTGAATGAAGTGGAACACCACTGTTGTTTTCTAGACCAAGGCCATCAACCTCGTTTGACTTGAAGAGCCCGGTCTGGCCAGCGGGTGGCTGCTCAGATATGAAACCCAGAATCTCAGTGGGACTGGCTCAAGGCTCTGCACACTGACATCATTCCTGCTGCACCATCCACTCACCATCCACATGGAATATGCCTTAAGAATAACAAATGTGTTGTGTACATTTGCCATGGTTTTATATTTGTATATAATGTATACAACTGCCACACATCGATGTATCAATACTGTGATTACCTGTAACTTGAAGGCTAAATAAGCCAAGCTATGAGATAAAACAGCTGGGTAATTTTCATGGGAATGAAACTCAAATCCTGTTGAAATATAAAAAAACCCGCGAAAGTAAATTAATAAATAACTTTCTTCTTTGGGGACATTTCTAACAAACAGCTTTTATTCACAAAAAGGCACGCCACCGCCATTAAATTACAAAAAAATAAGTCTCGGAACACCGGCAATTTACTCTGAGTAATGAAGTGCGAGGAAGCGTGAATGACTGCACGAATAATCGAGCAATGATGAATGGCCGGGGGAAAGTTGTGGGGCTGTTTACCTTTTTCATACGAGCTGCCCTCACAGCATCGCTCCTCTCTGCGGTTCGTGGCGCTCATGCTGAACAGCGAGTGTGAATGTGGCCAATCGTGCACATTGTGGGCCATTGTATGTATCTTGTCAGTGGGGGGGACAACCAAAACTATTACGCGTTAATGCATTATGAAGGATTGCAGGTAATTATCATAATTGCTATTTTATATTACAGAGTGTAATTCACGTAAATTGAAGCCACAGGCAGAGCGGGAAAAATCCGGTGCCAGTAATTGTCCGTATGACAGTTTGCGTACATGTAAGTATATTCACGTATATATATATAAAAGTGTGTTCACGAATATAATAAGTACGTAAACTTATGAGTTGTGTTAATTCGCTGCAGGGGGAGGAAAATAAATAATTGCAACGTAAATATTTTACTTCCCCGAGTAAAGTACATTGGGACAATATTTCTCTTGTTCGTAAATTAGCAGCAAAAAAAAAGACACATTTTCGACCACAGCTTATGTTACTAATCTGACGGCGAGTAATATTAGCGGCAGGCAAGATTGTCCAAGTGAGTGAATATTATTTTGCGAGCGCGCACGCGCGTCCACACGCACATCTCGGTCTCACAGCGCGACGCGCTCCGTGGGATTCATGGAGCACGGAAGGGGGGAAACACAACCCGCAAATTTAACTCAGCAGCAGCAGCAGCCACAGCAGCAATAGCCACCGTTGAAATGCGAGCGATCACATCAACAACATTTGTCAGGCATTTTGCGGTTTTCATTGTAAAAATAGGAGAAGTTGCAGCCCCCCCCCCACCCACCGCCATCCCACCCCCCACCACAGATGTTTTGAGGTTTTTTCATTTTTCAGCAGTTGCGTTACGTTTTGGTTAGTTGAAATTAAAACGAATTATGCTGCTTGCTACTGCTGCATCGGCAGTGGTGCAGAAATACAATTAACTACAACAACAAAGAGGCAATTGACCGCACCAAATACATACATTATAGGTGACGTTTCAGGCATTGGCACCTTCTTCATTTACGTGCTGTAAAGAAGGGCCATTACCCGAAACGTCGGTTATCATTAATTATATTAAAGGCCATAGTGTCCTTGACGAATGGGCCGAGTGTTAAGTTGTTGTTGTTGAAGTTAGTTGGGCCAGGCATCGACGATCAGCAGCAAGCCACGTGTGCATGCAGTGTCGAGAGATTTGCGTCCGTGTGAGGTCATCGTCATCGTCGTCATCATCCTTGGTCAGTCCACTGCTGGATGAGAAGGCCTCCCCCCAAAGCTGCCGCAATCTCTCGCGATCCTGCGGCGAAACAATCCACCCCGTGCTGCTGCTGCTGCTGCTGCTGCTGCTCACGAGGAGATGGGTGGACGACGAGAACGAAAGATCGGCTTGGGATCAGTAGCAGCAGCAGCAGCAGGGATCGCGAGAGATGGAGGCCTTCACATCCAGCTGCTGCTCGCGAGACGATCTATCGTCGTTGTCGCTCCATCTCCTCCGCAGACCGTTCTCTCTCCGACCCAAGCCCACTTTGGCTCTTCTTCACAGTGTTTGAGGGGCGCGCTCCCTTATCCGTGAGTTCCTCTTCCTGCATCTCTTTGTAAAAGTCACGCTCGCGTCAATCTCCACGCTCGTTTTGCACGCTTTTCGTTTTTGCTGTTTGTTGTTGTTGTGTTTTTCGGACTGCGCGACACGGGGGGGGGGGGGGCGGGGGGTCAGACAACCGTGATGGAAGCGGCACGCGCGATGGGGATGCGTGTTTTTCGTTGACTAATTCAAACAGTGTGTGTGTGGTGTGGGGGGTGGGAGGTGTGTGGCTGGGTGGGTGGGTGGAGGGCCGCACGGAATTCATTGGCACGCCAAGAAAGGGCTTCTTTGTTTTAACTTAGCGGTAGCAAACGCGGAACGGGTCCTGCGTAGCTTCACAGGTAAGGCGCTCCTTGAAGCGTAAAGCCAAAAGCCCTCTCACCTACGAAGTTGCGAATTCAATGAAGTTCCACGCAAATGCATGTGAAATTAAGTCCGCAACAAAGGCCATCATTTAATCGTTGAGCACGTGACGCACCTCCGTGTACGTTATGGCACAAACGCAGAG